CTAGGATGTGAAGTTCAGGATTCTAAAAAAGCTTCGAATTTACCTGTTTGCCAAAGGGCTATAAAAATTTGAGTAAGACTACGAAGCATGTCAGTTTTTAGGGTTTTGGAAATGTTAAAAGTTGATAGCTGTCATAGTTTCTTAACTGTCATTTGCTATCACTATTTGTTTCTATGGTTGTTTAGGTAAAGGTATCATCTATTATCGTCCTAGTTTGTTTATGCTCTTGCTGTGTTCAAAGTTCAGGGCATAAGAACTTTTGGCATTTCTTCTTGCTTAGCTGGTCAAAAATAAAATGTGAATACAATCTGTGAAAATTTCTTTTAAGCAGATCATGGATTTCATTTCTATTTATTACTTAGTTATATAACTATTACCTTATTTATGACGGTGGATCTGGTTTCTTAGGACCTAGTGGAATGAAATGTCTAGCATTCTAATTGCTTTTGTGCTTTTGCAGTCGATTGATGGACCCATTAACTACAGATTTGAGAAATATGAATGCTTTGGCTAAGGTATCTTATTAAAGAGTCCGTTTCTGCTCACAATGGTAATTTACTGGGATTGATTGGCCTTTTCAGTTTATATTCCCCTGACAAGTCTATTCTCATCTATGAAACTGCAGATAATGAGGCAGAGGCGTATTGATAGAGGAGCCTTAACTCTAGCTTCTGCTGAAGTCAAATTTCAAATTGACACTGAGACTCATGATCCGCTTGATATTGGTCTGTTGTCCTAATGCTATTAGTTTATCCTAATCTGGAATATAAATCAAGATATTAAACTTTAATTCAAAATTTTTTTTTCTGTAGGTCTGTCTATGAGTAAATGATTTCAATTATTAATATGCTTTCCAGCAGGCCTCTGTACTGCACTCCATCAGCATGAAATGACATTTTTTCTGTCTGGCAGCAAGCATGAGTAATTGCTGTGAGACAATGAAAGCATATCATGATGCTAATTATTGGTCTTGACCCATTTTTTCTAGATGACAATATATTCCTTACTAAAATTTCTTTATGTCTTAAGTATTTTAGGACCTCATTTGTGTTAATTTTTTTATTTAATTAAAAATTGTCACTCATTTTCTTCTATTATTTTTACTGTTTTTTTCCTTTTATTTTTGTTCTACACTTTTGGGCTTTTGTTCACTTGTCCAACAGTGGAGGATAGTTATTAATAATTATGATTAAGAAAAATGCAAATAAATTGGAATGATTTCAAGATTTCAAAATCCAGAGCGCATATGTGTTTAAGATTTGCATTTCTTTCAATTTGTCTGATGTCTGAGTTATTCATGCAGGCATGTATCAGATTCGAGAAGCGAACCAAATGGTTGAGGAATTTATGCTCTCTGCCAACGTTTCTGTTGCCAAAAAAATATATGATTGTTTTCCTTTGTGTTCACTTCTAAGGTAAACTTGTCTTTTACGTGTCGCTAATGCCATGTCAATTTGCTTATGGGACTTGCATCTGTTCAGGACCTTTTCTTTTCTGCACTGTTTAATGTTGGCCTGTGGTTTATGATTATACCCCCTTTGAAAATGATTATATTTTCCATAAATCCCAGCAGAGTTCCGACCCCGTTGATGATCCTGTGTAAATTTAAAGCACTGGAATTATTTGTAATAGGATTAATAAGATTGTGTGTGTTAGTATATTAAGTATGAAACACCCGGTCAGAGATGGTGTTAAACCATAAAATTAGCATATATGGTTGATAATTGTGAATAGAGTCTGCCATGTGATCTCTCCAACAATCCATAGTATTTTTGAAAGTCATAAATGCTGCAATTTAGTTTACCATCTACTACAGGTATCCTGACTTTTATGTACAAAAGTCCATAAGAGTTGTGGTCATTGCTGGATAATGACATTGCTGTTGTTCGACACCTAGTATTGCTTCTCTGAACATTGTTTCTGTGTGCAGGCGTCATCCAACTCCTACCAGAGAGATGCTTGAACCTTTGTTACGTACTACTGCTGCTGTTGGACTTGACTTGGATGTTTCCTCATCAAAGGCATTGGCTGACTCACTGGACGGTGCTGTGGTAAGTTTCCTTTTCATTATATGTTTGTCTGTCTGCACAGCTGATATACCACATCAGATGGTTTCATTTCATGGATATTGCTTTGTCCAACTTCTAGCTTGTCAGGCTTCTGAATTTTTTTTTATGCTTTGTTGCTTGGGTCCTGTACTTGTTTGGCCTCTCTTTCTCTCTCTAGATTGTTTTTTACTTCTGGGAAGAATGTCTTGCAGGGTGATGATCCATACTTTAACAAGCTGATTCGGATACTGGCAACGAGGTGTATGACACAGGTAAAGTTAGCAAGGATAATTATGTCAGTCTCCGGATAATTTTGGGTGAGGCATATTTTAACTTGTAATAATTTGCCTTGGATTACAAATTAGGCGGTTTACTTCTGTAGTGGGGATCTCAGCCCTCCAGAATATCATCATTATGGGCTTGCTGCGCCTATGTACACTCATTTCACTTCTCCTATTAGGAGATATGCTGGTTAGTGAATAGAAACTTGTTTGTTGCTTTTCCTTTATGTGCTAATTTCTTGGTTGCAAGAGGAGAATATAAATTGAGTATGCAACTTTCGCCTCTTTGCAGATGTGATTGTGCACAGGTTGCTTGCTGCATCTCTAATGATCGAGAAGCTTCCATCAGTATTCCAAGACAGAACCCAACTCACTAGTATTGCTGATAGTAAGTTTTGTGCTGTCATGATGTTTCTAGGCTACATGGATTTGCAAACATTCTTTACATGAGTTGTGTACCCATGATAGCCATTCATGGCTGCCAGTGTGTCTACCTATTCATTTTCACATGGTTGAAAATCATCTTCAGCTTTTGGACAACAAAAATAAAATTTGTACTCTCACTTTTCAGATCTGAATTATCGTCATAGGAATGCCCAAATGGCAAGCAGGGCCTCAGTGGAGCTCCATACTCTCATCTACTTCAGAAAACGGTATGTGCTTTAGTCTCTCCCCCTCAGTCGAACACACTTGTGTGCACCATCATGCACATGCACCAAAACTAATGGAAGTTGTTATTTGTTTTGATTTTTTCTGCTGCAGGCCTACTGACACAGAGGCCAGAATAGTGAAGATAAGATCAAACGGGTTTATTGTGTTTGTGCCCAAGTATGAGCCTAGATCTTATTTATTTGTATTCCCTCTCTCTGTGCAAAGAAAAGATTTTTAATGTTCTATGTATTGTTTTTTTTTTAATTGGAAAAAAGGGAATTCGAACCCTGTTTTTTTAGACAGGGGGAGTAGAGGTGGAAGGAGGGGGCCCTAGTAGGGTCATTCGCCTCTTAAAATTTCAAAATTTATATTTTCTTTCTCTGTTTTATTTTAAAAGTTTATAATTTTGCCCCCTCAAATGTTAAAATTTTCAATTTCACCCCTTCAAATCTAAAATCTTGACCCATCACTATACCAACTAATGAGTCAAATGCTCGAATGTACGTTTTTGTGTAGGGTTGATACTTAATTGTTTTACATCTAGTCAGTGCTAAACCCTTCCCAATTTAAAGAGAAAAGAAAAATGTTTTGGTTTTGATTTTGCTTAAAAAGGTGACACTAACAGTGGTTAGCGAATGTTTTGCACTTGTGTTTAGTTTGTGAACTGTGTTAAGTGCATAAATTAACATTAGTGTGTTGACAGATACGGTATAGAAGGACCTGTGTACTTGACAACAAAAGGAGAGAAGGGAGGCGGGGAGTGGTTTGTGGATGAGCAGCAGCAGAAGATTGTAAAGATGGACAATCGCCTTTCTTACAGTGTTCTGCAAGCAGTGAGGATCCACATGGAGGTTGTGGAGCCCCAACCTAACCGGCCAAAACTCCAGCTTACCCTTATCTAGAAGAACATGCATGAGATGGGACAACCAAGACGTAGCTGTTGACAAGCATGGAGCCTTGATTTGCTTAGACAAGTGTAATTTGATATGGATAATATTGTTTGATTCTTGGTTCTTGTGGTAATATGCAAATTCCTTCCGGCCTTTGGGGGATAGAAAATATTTTGTATGTGTCGCGTGGAGTCGAGTCTGGGGCTCGAGCTGAATCTAGTTTGATTCTCACTCGTACGATTTTGCAGGTGGGCTCAAGACGTCTGTCAGTAAAGACTAAAGAGCCGGGCCCAGACAGCAAAATGAGTCTTCTTGGTCTTGGATCAACAACAAATTTTGTTCCGTACGACAGACATGAAATGGAGGAGCAATGACTGGTTATAGTAGGGGTGAGAAAATTGCATGGGATCGGGGACAAGGACTGAGGCATGATTTTATCCATCAAACTGAAAAGAAAAGCCTGGATTCTTTTCTTTATGTAACATGTGGGACCAGACCACAAAGGTGGAAAGAAATATCCTAAAGTTATTCACCTAGATCAACGGCTCAAAAACACATCCCCTTTTCACATGATTTCGCCAATGTGGGTCACGTGGCAGTGGTGTACCATAAGAGAACCCCGTCCCTCCGTCCTTTCCCCATATTACCATCATGCCATCATGGTCGGCACCAAAGAAAATGTAGCCTTGTAGTTGTTGCATGGTTGATGGTTCCGAGATGAATTTTGCATATATCCAAATGATGATCATCGTAACTGATAGGAGTGATTATGATTGCGCATGCCATGATGGTCCATCGTCGTAGAGCCAAGAGCGGCGGAGGCATACTTTCCTCTATCAAACACTTTCTGCTCCTTCTAAGTTAGTAGTGTAGTGTAGTTAGTTCTACTATTTATTTATTATTTATTATTACTCTGAGAGGAGCGAAAACAAAACTACCACCACCTCCTTTCCAATTACCTCCTGTGTCAGAAATCCAACACAGACAATTAATAAATATACACTAAAACAACAAGACGAGTAAGAGTCAGAAATCTCGACCAGACCACCCTCGCCCCTTTGTTACAGAACAAAAAAAAAAAGAAAAAACTCCAGCTTGACCCATTTGCCATCTACATTACCATCGCCATTAGCCAGGCAGTCCGGTCTACTCCCATGGCTGCAGCCCTCGAGTGCTGGTCTAGCCGAGCAACCACCGACGATGACATGGTGGAGCAGGTCCTGATGCGGACCAACGACAGATCCGAGGAGAGCTCTTCCTCCTCTGCTTCAGCCAAAGCCGAAGCGCAATCCGCCATGCACAAACGATTTCAGAGGCTCAGCAGGAACGTCTCCGAAGCCATCGCCTCCCTCAAGAACTCGCTTAACCTCGACTCCTCCCAACGTGATCAGCACCTGCCCCCTCCTGTTTCTGTCCATTCTGCGTCCTCCAAGGTCGAGACTTGCCGAAAAGTGGTATGGGGTACAGTTGTACGGAACTTGACACAGCTTTATCCTGGAAGTCAGTTGCCTGAGAAGCTTGTCTCCAATATCAGGAAGCATTATGATTCCTTGCCTCTCAGGTCGCCTTGCCTTGCCTTGTTTGTTCCTGCTTCATACTCATTTTGGGCTTCTCTTTTCTCACTCTTGAGAAATGCAAGAACGCAACACAAATTTGAAAATAGTTTTCTCAGCGTTAACTAAACTCTACTCTGAAGCATGGTTTTGTTTTCTCTTGGATCTATAAACAGTGATCCTTTGGTTTTCTCACTATTATTATTATTATTATTATTATTTAAAACATTTAAAGTGGTATTTCGTTGCATTTTGCTAAAATTTTCCTATTTTTTCTTCCTCAATTTTGCATTTTTCTCATTCTTGTTGGGTATTATTTTGACAGTTATGCACAAGCGGGCTTTGATATGAAAGAAGTGTTTCTACATATAAAATTGATAGAGCAGGCATCAGGGGATGATCACCCTGCAATATTCATTCAACAAGTGTCTGAGGATGAGGTACAAGGTTCTGTTTTTAAGCTCACATTTGCTTGTAACTCTTCCTTTTCTTGGTCTGCCATGTCTGGTGCTCTTGATACCGCTTCCATTTGTTGCAAGAAGATACAGATATTTGAGAAGAAAGGCTTTACCCTTGGAATCATTCTGTTCTTGGTTCAACCCGCTCAAGACAAGTTATTTAAATCCCACATCGAGAATGCCCTCAAATCTGCTATCAAGAAACCCAAAATGACCACTGTGAAGCTACCATTTGGGCTTTGCGGGTGTCAGGAGGAGAATACTAAAGGGAGAGACTTTGGGGAAATTGAAGAAGACGCAATTGAGCAGACTCATAGAAATGGGATTGAAAATCCAAATACAAAGATTCAGCTTCAAATGCCTCTGCCCACTTCGTCGTTTGTTGTATTGGTTGATGAATGGCAAACCATCCAATCAGGTGGGGACGAGATTGGAAAATGGCTCTTAAACTCTGACAATCTGGAGTTTGTCGATCAGATTGGACCCAACTCGTTTAAAGGTGTTTACAAGGGTAAACGTGTTGGAATTGAAAAGCTCAAAGGATGTGACAAGGGGAATTCTTATGAGTTTGAACTTCGAAAAGATCTCTTAGAGCTGATGACTTGTGGGCATAGGAACATTTTGCAGTTTTATGGTGTTTGTGTTGATGAAAATAATGGTTTGTGTGTTGTGACCAAGTTGATGGAAGGTGGATCAGTCCATGATTTGATGCTAAAGAACAAGAAGCTTCAGATTAAGGAGATAATAAGAATTGCTGCTGATGTAGCAGAAGGGGTCAAGTTTATGAATGATCATGGTGTTGCATACAGAGACCTCAACACACAGAGGATTCTGCTAGATAAACATGGTAATGCTTGCTTGGGGGACATGGGTATAGTCACAGCTTGCAAGAGTGTTGGCGAGGCAATGGAGTATGAAACTGATGGTTACCGTTGGCTAGCTCCTGAGGTTTGTATCATCTTAATTACTGTTTTCTGAATTCTGTTAGCATGGCTCATCAGCATTGGTCATAACCTCATTCCATCCCCACTTCCTAGAGTACAAACTCTATCCTCCGGCATTGGTCATAACCATCATGCCTGGTCTACTTCACCAAGCACCGTCCAACTATAATAAACCAAATTCATCTAAATAAACCATCTCAACAGTTGATTTATCACTTTGGGCAATCGACATTGGTTTTTGTTGTGTTTATGTAATGTTCTTCAGGTTCAATGTATGTGGGTACAACTCTTAGGATCAATCCAATCTTTCTAAAAGAGACTTTATGTCACTTATCCAACATCATTGTTTGGGCATGCGTAACATGTCTTAATGATTGTTTTTTCTTTACACTTCAATATGGTTTACCTTTATTTATGTACTCGTACATTCTGAATTAAACAAATCATCAACACTGTTGAAGCCACTTTTACCAATTGTCTAATTGTGGAGCCCTCATACTGGCACTTTTTAATGTTAGCAATTTAGTCTTTTTCCATACCTAATCTCAGAGGCCACTGTGTGACTGCTACTTTTCCAGAATTCTTTGCCTAATTGATGTTAATATTATGATTATCTTTAAAGCTAAACTAGAGGAAATAACTTATGACATATTCCATATATTTCAGTGAGCATATTGTGAGGCCATTTTTTATTACTTACACTTTAACTGAATGGTTCTCTTTCTACCTGCAAGTTAGGTCTCTTTTAACTTTTTCAAATGCTGCTTGTTGCTTATGCTTATATGGATTCCAATAATTAATTTGTTCAGTGTTTAAAAATGTTGATATTTTGGTGTAAAAGAACACAATAATGAACTTGGGAAGAGTTTCAATGTGTTATGTCATAATTTTTTTTGAAAGGCATAAGAAGTTTTATTAAGGAGAAGTGCAAACTTCAGTGAAATGATACTCCAACATCATAATACTTTATATGTCCATTATCCTTTTTTCTTTTCATATTCCAATTCTATACAACTTGCATTGCAGAGGCTGATCATTTTTTGGCCCTTCCTTATATTTGTTGAATGCAGATCATTGCTGGGGACCCAGAGAATGTTACTGAGACATGGATGAGTAATTCCTATAGTTTTGGGATGGTGATTTGGGAGATGGTGACTGGTGAGGCAGCCTATTCTGCATGTTCACCAGTGCAAGCAGCAGTAGGAATAGCTGCTTGTGGCCTAAGGCCTGATATCCCTAAGGACTGCCCACAAATCCTCAAATCTCTGATGACCAAGTGCTGGAATAATTGCCCATCAAAGCGACCTCAATTCTCTGAAATTTTATCACTGTTGCTGCGGCCCAATAACAATAGCAAACACTTATAGGTAAAATATACTTCAAAATAATTCATGAAATGTAATCCATTCATGCTAAAAGTGTGTTAAAGAAGGCTTCATATGGTGTCTTGCTACCATGCATGACTGTAGATTTGGAAGTTCCTACAGCAGAAAAGAAGACATAAGTATAACTATATGTCTTCTCTTTTGCCAACTTAAGCATATCATTTTTCTTTCACCATTTCAAATCAATCTTTTTAATTTGGCAGCCAAAGAAGAAAATTAAATAAAAAAAAATGTTTCATTACTGATTTCGTGGAATGCCTTGCCATCATATGCATGTTGCATAAGAGCATTTATGATGGACTTGTGAGTGGTGCGATTATTTAAATGACTAGGCATTTTATGTTGGTTGCAAAAGGCTAGGATTAATTGTTTGAAAAAGGGGAAAAGCAGAAGGAAAGGAGATTTTCTGAGGCCTTGTGTGCCCTACTGTTTCTTGTGGATTAGGGAATAATTGTATCTTAAGTTTTATTTTGTCTCTGTGGTTGCTGGTTGAGGGACCCAAAAGTGCTCATCTTGTCTTTTTGTCTCAGAAAAGGTGAGAATCATCAAATACCCCAATGTTTCCACCGATGGGAAAAGTAGTATTATGGAATTCCACGTGGAAGTTGGCTTTAAATTCCTACACGTGCCAATGATTTGAGATGATAGTTAATTAATGAAAAAAAAAACCCTTCTCAAGGGATTTGTATAGCAAACCTAGTTCAGCATTGAACAATTCATCAGATGAGCATTTTCAGTCATCTCAAGTGCTGGTTGTTATTGGTGGAATTCACTGTGATGGATGGTGAAGATCCTGCTATATACATCTCTTCAAATGCTCTGCTAAATTTGAGTTCATAAACTGGAATGGAAAGATTTTTTTGATGTGCTTGTCTTGTTTGACTATTATCACATTAATAACGCATGACTGCCTTTTCTTTACTTCTTCCCTTGTCTACCAAATGAAGAATGGATGTATTTGTTTTTCATTTTCTTTAGTTTGGTTAATTTTTATATTTATTGTAAGCCTTATCATTGTCCACATGATCCTGGACGAGTTGAAGTTCTGAGAAAAGATCCCAAGTGAGCAATCTTCTTAAAATCAGTTGATACCAAAAAAAGAAATTATAGTAATTGAAAAAGAGAGAAAACCTTAAGCTAGAAGCTTGCATGGTGGGGATGTTTTAATTTATGGGTTTGGGTTGAGGAATTACAGGGCAGGCAGTCAGTCAGGTATGAGCGCCCTGCATTTTAATCTGGTTTTTAAACCGTCACCCAGCAGTGTAACACTTACTGATTCTTTGCTTCAACTGCACAAAAAGCAGCACAACTCAAATTGAACAGCATGAAAGCAATTCAAGCCAAAAAAGAAAAAAAGATTGTTGGAGGCTGGAGGCAGAAATCAATTGTGAAGATGTTACAGAGCATCATTTTCAGCCAGAACACCAAGGCCAGCAAAGTAAAGAAGGTATCTTCTGACTTCTGAATTGAAACCCTAGCGACATTTACTGTAGAGCTACAGCTTACCAAATCTGTGAGACACCATGTTCATTGCAGATACTTATGTTGTCATTCATCAGGTTGTTTGCATAAACTAGCGATTCCATGCATTTCATTATCTGGACACTGGGATTGTAATGCTAATTTAAAATTGAGGCTGTGAGATCAACTTGCTCGAAAATCCCAGACAACAATGTGTGACTGCTATCCATCATTCTTGATAAGGTTAAAAACAAGAACATCACCATGTGCAATAGAATTAGAGCTCTATCCAGCACTGCCCTCTGCAAATTCTATGCTTCTCGTAGTTAGTTCCAAGAGTTATCTTGTTGCTAACTATTCTAAGTTTGACTCACACAACTAATAAAATATTACTAGTATTTTTATGGGATGTTTTCACTGTTAACAGAGACATTTGTAAAGCACATGGATGGTGAAAGTTATATGATTTCAGTGATTGAGGTCTGCTCTTTAATCTTCATGTCATGGTTTTTTCTTTCAGTGCTTTGTCATATGCCGTTTGTTCTTTTGGATATCTCCATCTTGGCAGCCAACTATTAACTTCATTTGGCTGGCTACTTAATCGTATCATACTCATCTTGGCCCTGCCACACATACTGAGCTTGGAACAAATGACAGAAAACTAGAGGAATGCTAGTAAACAGGGCATTTCTGCTGAGACAAGTATTTGCTCACTATACTTGCTTAGGCACCCCAATCAAGATAATATTCAAACATTCAGTTACCACTTACTACAGGGACTGATTTCTTGTAATTTTTTTATGCGTATTGTTGGATTATTTATGCATGAAGCTTACTGTTGAATCGTCAACTTGTTTCAGTTTAGTCCTATGTTTTCCACTTCCATTAAACCGTGGAAGTTGTTACCTGCATTCATGCATAAAAGATTGACAATAGTCTATTTAGAGATATGGTATAGAAGGCGAGAAATGCGGCGGGAATTTTTTGTGGATGAGCAGCAGTATAAGATTGTAAAGGTGGACGACAGCCTTGTCAACACTGTTCCGCAAACAGTGAGGATTGGCTTGGAGGTTGTGGATCAAAAACTCCAGCTTGCCTGCATCTAGAAGATGCATGACGTTTTCTTAATTAGAGAAGTTGAAACTGCTATGTGGACCCTTCATTGGCTTAGAAGGTTGTTAATATAGTTGTTATTTTAAATCAATATGGTTTGAGTTGTAAGTTTTGGGTGCTGATGCTGTAATATTCTCGAGTGTCAGGATATGTTTTCCGACATTCAGACTGCTGCATAAAGTTGCATTTCATTCAAGTTTCAACCCAAAGCTAAAAGAGAAAGAATCCAACTATATGATGATATTGAAATGAATATCATGAGCTATTACAATTTTACATGCAAATTATCTTATGCCCCAGAAACAGAAGGAACAGCACAAGGCTTTCCTTCTGCTTGAGATGTGTACTCTTTGTCCTGGTTTTCTGTTTTTCAACTCACTACGCCTACATACATTCATAATCTATTATATTTATATACACGCTATGGAAGCCTTTGACCTCTCGCTGTTATCCACGCAAGTTGACAAGCCTAACAGCAAAAGGAAATGACGAGTAGCATGTATAGTATCTAACAAAGGAGAGAAAAGAATCTGATTGGAGATGGCTCTTTCTTTTGGCTTTCCTAGGTTGGGTTGGTGGCTTTCAGGTCAAGATCCACATGAACACTGTTGACCAGGTGGTCAGTGCTAGGGCGGCAGCCAAGTATGTCCACAGGAAGAGGACCGAGCACTCCTCTTGACCCACGTCAAACAGCTCGGTCATGGTACCTGCAATTACCCAATTAGCATCATTTAGGTAAGACTGTAGCTTGCGGGCACAACACTGGTAGTTAATCTGAACCCTTTACTCACCAATATTCATGGCAGGTGGCAGAGTAAACTGAATCATCAGCACGTAGTGGAACAAAGGGTCCGGTGGCAGGAAGCCAAGTGCCCGGCTGCTTTAACAACCCCAATGCCAACAGCTGGGAGAATAATGTATCGAACACAGACCACTCCCACGATAATCAAAGGTTTAATTGTCGATGAACGTAAACCTATTCATTTATACTGCTAAGTAAGAATGCGTTTCCTCCACTAAACAGCATTAATTAGGAAATTTTAGAGTCAGCTCTACCTTGAATCAAGTTGGCTCCTAGTACGAGGATGATACAAGGAATCGTTCCATCCCTGCACAGTGCTTTTACTCCGTTAGTTCTAGTTACAATAGCTTATACGAACAAAATAACACAAGTAGCCTTCCATTTCGCTGAATTATTCAATCAAAACGAAATATTTATGAACAGAGTAAGAGAGAAGAGCTCGTACCCTAGCAGTTTAATGGAGTCTTGGATTACCCGTAGCGGAGCCCCGTCACCAATTACAAGGTTTCTCAGCCACGTGGTCGCCCCAAAGATGAAACCCAAAATCTGATCATGGTCGAGAATCATTTATTTAATTCTTATTTGTGTCGATGAAAAATGAACATGTACAAGTGCAACTTAGAAACTTACTGCACCAAGCGTTGGAGGTGCCATGAGCTCTTCCAAAATCTGATGAAGAAACCTGACCACTTTAACCCAGAACGATGCCTTCCCTTTTTCATTCGGCCCCGTTTCTTGGGACACATTCTGCATTGTAGAGGGCAGAGAGTGTTACTGAATATTACTTGTGTTTAATTTACATTCTACTCCTAGTATGCTTACTCTATGCCTCTGGCTTATACCAGAAACTCTTTTGTGCAAAGGCTACCTACCTCTTGCTTCTCTGGATCTTCAACAGACTTTGTTGCCACTGTTACAGCAAGTTGCTCTTGATGACCTTCTCCTTTCAGAAGGTGACTTTCGGCTGTGGCATCTAAGTTCTTGTTGGGTTCTTTTGAAACCAATTCTCAGCCGCTTCAAGTGCTTTGAATTTTACAGCTGAAGTTTTTACCATTTGGTAAGTAATAGTCCAGATGTAAAAACCACCAAGCTGCATTCATTATTAGCCAAAGCATACATGAATGGTCAGACCTTCTACTCAGAATAACAGGGCTTACTGGCTTCCTAGATCCTGTAGCCAAAAGCTTGTAGGTAAAAGGGCTTGAAATAATCACATTACCGCCATGGAGAAAGATGCGTATGAAAGTCCCACTGAGCTGCAAACATTACGATTCCCAAACGGGCTTCCATCCTCATTACAGATTGCGGGGACCACTATAAGGAGAAGATTTCCCAAGTTCCCTAATTCAACAAGCATTAAACAAATTAGTCAACCACTTAAATGTGTAAAACTGGGTATGTATGGAAAAAGCTTGAGCCCTTGAAAGCTGTCAGCTTTACCAGATGAACATGTAGCAATGATAAGACCCTCCAGCTGAGGCTTTGGTCTCAGTATCTTAACCACAATCCATCCAACAATTCCTCCCACTAGAAAAGTAATCCATATTTACAGGCATAAACCACCTGTGAATTGATGATCAAACACATTAAAACCAGCCACCTGTATGTATGTATGTATGTTTGTATTTCCTCCGTTTATATTTTTGTACCGGAAAAATAGTCTTCCTCTCTAGATTTTCTTGGAGACAAAAGAAAAAGAGATGTTTATAAGGCCGAAACAGAGTTATTTTGTCCCCTCATATGAAAACCGAATTAGTCCTGCTGCTTAACTTTCTTATTTATTTATTTTTTTGATATGATAATTAAAGAAAAAATATTAGTGCATAGGAAAAAAAAACAGAAGAAGAGAACAAGAACATTGAAGTATCCTACAATGAATAATGTCCTGGAGCGTGACAGTCTTGCAAGACTTGCAAACATGAGCGAGGGGTGACACCACGAACACAAGCTGCGTTTTACAGAGCAAAATATATAAGACGGAAAAACCCAGACGTGAAGAACATGATCCTGCACCGAAGTCAATCTCACCAACATAAAGAAAAGAGCTTGTGCATGCATGCAGACAATTATTAAAATAGTAGTAGTACCTTATTCAAGGATCTCCGGGTGTCTGCTGGCAGAAGTTTGCAGTAATCAGTTGCCATGAAGGCTCCCAACACGCTTATTATCAGTACTTGCAAAATTGGCATGGAAGCCACCTCGAACAGTGTCCAGAAGCCCATCTTATAATTATTCTAATCCACCTTCAATTGTTTTTTGATGTATAAATCAGACAGAAATTATATTTCGTGCAGCTATCCTTGTTTCGATTTCTCCTGTTTGTGTACCAGCTATTGGAATGTGCAAAAATATCTGATGCTAAAAGAACAGGAGGAAAATCCTGCGAAGGAGCAGAGGGGAGGGGGAGAGCATGTTTACAAAATGGAGACGTCAAAACAAAATCGAAAGAAAAGTTTGCATGACTTGTATCCAAACTCGGGCGAAGCTCAAAGCAGGCAGTGGTAAAAGACATGTGATCAATCAATGTGTCCATAAGTACTGGAGGAGGAAACAACGGTGAAGGTACCCCTACTTGTCGGTACTTCGAATATATATATATATATATATCGGTACTTTTATGGAAACGGTAACTGGCGGGTGGTGATGCCTTGTGTTATTTTATTGCTGACCTCACCAATTCCTGGACCGGAGTCAAGACACTTTTGGTCATCATATCCATCATCTAAGTATATTTACATATTTACGTTACGTACCCTTCAATGAGTGGTCGCTCTTTTTCTTTTAGAACGTGATGCACGTTAGGGCCCCTATGATCATCAACGGTACAAAGGACACTTGAAGGAGACAAGTTCAATTGTGGGAGTTGTTTTCCTAATTGAAATTAAAGAGTAATCGTGCAGAAAGTTTACTTGAAAGTAGTTTACAAGTGTTGGGTGCAAATTAAGACGATGCACCACTTCTGAGAGAAACTTAAACACAAGTTCAGGACCGACACACCAAGGCGACGCTGGGGCCTTCCTACTGAACTGAAGGCCCGATTGGGCACTAGATCCTTGAGGATGCAGTGAATTTTGGGAGGCATATTATAAACCCGGTGTGCAAATGGCACCTTAGCAAATCCATTTGAGGTGGTGATGGCCAGCCTCTGGATTTGGATAGCTCTTTGTAAATGCCAAATGCCAAATGCCAAATGCCGAATGCCAGAGGAAAATGATTGTAATTAGATAATTATTTATTCGAGGCCTTGTTTGGTACTGACTTGTGGTCCAGCAGGTACCACCACCGGGGGTAATAATCCCAATCCAAATCACACTTTAGCTTTCGGGCCTGATCATGACTTCATTCCCAATTTATCTACAGAACTGACTACTTCTCATACTTGGTAGGGCCAGAAGGGGTACAATAATCAGATGGATTTGCTGTGAATATGTTTCACCGTTTTAGTATCAGAAATGAGGCCATCCCCCTCACGAAACAACAATAATATTGCCATTGCTATTGCACTTCCGCCACTGTGGAAATGAGTCATGTGTCATGTGTATGCATGTTACTCCATCTAACATTAATAAACAATAATGTAATGTGAAGAGGACAAATTAGTTCCTACAATCCCAACTACAGCCGCTCGCTACCATCAGTTGATAATTTAAAATCAAATTCAAACATTAGTTACCATGCTGTACGTAGTCATATTTTAATTTGCTACTGCCTGTGTCCTCGAATTAAAAATATACCAACCAAAATTCTTGTCTGTAAAGAGGAGATATGTGGGTTTGTCCAAGAAATCCAAAGATGTGATTAATTTATGGTCGACAGCTAAATTAGATCTGTAAGCAAATACAAATTACTAATGGACATGGTTATATAGTAAGTATATGCATGCGTTTAGAATTTGCTTATTTGGTAGATACTGCATACAAAAAGATGCACAACATTAGTAGTACTAGTGTGTAATTTTATACGTACTATTTTATAATGGCAGGATAGAATTTTGGCCTGGAAGAATAAGGATGGATGGAGTGGCGGAGCATGAAATAGTATGTGAAAATGGAAGGGAAGGAGAAAGTTTGAAAACGTTACGTAAACATAGAGAATCAAAGATATGGATGTGGAAGGTTTGAGAAAAGCACAAGAAGGCTGGAAGAGATTTCCTCGGGGAGAATACATATGACAAACAAGAAGAACAAGTCGAATCCCAATTGGGAGATGAGCGGAGACCTTGGATTTAGTTATTGTGACCTAATTCCCAAGTGGGAAGGTGATCTCAACGACATGGACACGCATCATTCAATTTCATCATCTAAACAGAACGTAACAATCCACACGAAACAAAAAGCTCATGTAGATGGAATTCGATGGATGGAAATATCTATAAATTCAATATTGATCAATGTAATGTTCGGCTGGTGCAGCCAGCGTGCATCGAAGAGAAAGACGACGAACCTGGAAATTAATTAATGCCAACCTGGGTTGAGTGCAGAGGCACCGGAGTGAGCGGCAGGTAATTACTACGTCTGAATCTGATTCAATGTGAATTATATATGAGGGCGTCAGAATCGGATTCGCCTAAAGTGATCCTGGCGCCTGTGTTTATGGATTAGAGAACATACATATATATGTATATATATAATAAAAGATTAAAGAGAGTTTATAGGATTCGGCTGTCACGCTTATGATTCTATATATAGGCAGCGATGGAGGCATGTGCGGAAAAACACCTTCCCTATAATAATTAACATTAACAGGGCACCAATCATAATTCTTTCACGGGGCTGGGCCACATACAAATATATATACTCGCGCGCGCACTTTCCACCACATCGATCATAATTTTATGTTTTTTGAAACTTAATTTTCTACTAGTCTAGTACGTGTATATGTATAGTGTATTCTATTCTGGGATTAACCAGTTGTGATTCGGAAAGGAACATGCAATTGCAATTAATGCGACTGTAGCAGCCCTCGTCCTAATTTCTTTATTGATGCTAACATCTGCCTACCTAGCTAAATGAATTCGCTTTTGCTTGCTCTGGCAATTTCAAGAAGTGATCCTTAAAAATTACCAACAGTTTGTGCATATGGTGGCAGAAAGAAAGAAGAATTGTAGGATCCATTGGGCAAGCAGGTTACAGCTACAGGGGTCGTACGTATAAGGTTGTCCATTCCATGTTGCAGGTCCCACCACCCAGGAATCTTACATATTAGATGTACAATTAATTTGGTGGTGACGAACGGCCTTACGCAACAGGGCCATGAAATTAAAGGAGTAGGGGACAAATTCACGAACCAAATGAAATTTAACGTAATTAGATAGGTCTCATTCATCAACTCAGACCTGCTACTTGCTTTTATTTTCAGCTTTAGACTTGGTTGCATGTGTCATGTGTCAATTAAAGAGGTGTATATATTAATATTCTCTATTCTGTTTGGCCTAAAAAGATGAAATTTTTATGACACACACATATATAATATTAATTTGAAACAACATAGTTTGACATTTATATATATATGCATGTCTTTTAATGGAGCAGTCATGTTATGCATGTTGAAAAACTTAGAGAATAGAGACTCACAAGGCTTAATTTGTCGTTTTCCCATCCATAAGTTAAGTTGTGACTTGTGAAATGATTCCACCTTTGCTTATTTGTTTTTGGCGTGGACAGATGATTATGAGGGAGTAGGGACGTCCTAAGAAACGAGGATTGGATAATTTGACAGCTTATTAGACCACGCCTCTTATCATAATTCCACAATACTCGCTTAGCAGTATATAATTGTAACTCTTCCTTGGAAAAATCAAACTTGTAAGCTTCAAAATATTTCATAAGTAGCAAGAATGAAATTGCATGCCTTTCGGTTTACGTACCCAGAGTAATAAAATTGGTCAATGAGTAAAAAAGTATGTTTGTGTCACTTAATTTGTTGATATATAGTTAATAAAATATATTTCGACAATGAATTAGTGTTGTAGCCAAAAATTATGCATATAATAATTTGGTCATTGCTTTTGATGGGAATGACATGTAAATAAAGCATTAATTAATTGCGGTGGGCAGGTTGTAAAGATAAATCTGGGATGCGCACGCACATGCACTTGCACTTGATTTAGGATTCCATGTTGGGGGCTTAATTTGTCTTGTTGTTTCAGTTCGATGTTTATGGATCCACTTGTAGTAATTCATTCATCTTTCTCTTCCCAATTGGCGAAGTTTCCATGTTCAAAATCGATGGCTGAATTTATAATGTTTAGTGTGTGTAGACCATCTTCCTCAGTTCCGCCGCCATTGATCTATGTTCCAAAACACAAAACTAAACAAAAACAAAAGATTCATTTGCTAATTAATTAAGTAAATGTTAAAACCATCAATTCCATTTCTTCTTAAATTTTTATCTCTCCCGTTTTTCAATGGGTCATTATTCTGATGTTTACAAAAGAAAGCAGTAAACAAGTTTGTGGGGTCCCAGATCTAATAACAAAATAAAAAAAAAAAAAGCAAAACAAATGGTCCCACTTAGCTTTTGTCTAAAGGTCTAACTGACGCCGTGATCAACCAAAGGATATAATTATTGATTGCCCTTTGCTCCATCAATCAACTATACTTTTCTGAAAGAAAAAAACATTATTTGTTTTTGAATATTTTCATCACATTCCATGTATTTGTTCAATAATTACACGACGTTATTTGTTTTTGAATATTTTCATCACAGTCCATGTATTTGTTCAATAATTACACGAAAGTTGCTTACTTGTCATCACCCAAATGGAATATATATATATATATATATAAAAGTTGATGGCAGCTTGGCATTTGTGCTTGGTGAGAGACCTGCATCAAGCTTCTGGCTCTACCCCTTTCATACCTGCCTGCCATGACTTTCTTGCAGACCAAAGTAACCATGTTGTTATGTTAGTGCAAGGCCTCCTGGTCCGAAATGCAATTAGCAATGGAGGACGCACGGCACGACCCATACACTTTGTTAGGATTTCAGTATTGAAACCAGCTAGCTTCCATACTCTCTTCGCTCATCCACAGATGCCCATCTCGTCAATGGCATTGGCTAAACCAAAAAGAGGGAAAAAAAATTTTAAATAAAAGTCAGTATGGTTTGTGTATTTAACGTAGCTAGGTTTTTCAGGGTCAGGACTATATGATATTACGATGGTATGGGCCCTGCGATGAGCTCGGCTTCGGTTTGCTTCGCCCTCGACGAAATCATTCATCTCCTCGGTCGGGCATTAGCTGTCCCCATAATTACTACTAGTACCATTCAATTGGAAAAGACGGCATTGGAACTTGACTCAGCTGTGCTAGTGTTACTTAGGTGAGGTCGCTATCACTACTTGGGAATGAGATTACCCATGTGACGTGTCATTCCAAGCTGATGCAGCCACGCCCATTACAGCTTTAGGGTTCAGGCCCAGACTCCCTCTCCCCAAAATTAAAACTAGAGAAGTCCAGCATAGATATGGCCCTTCCAGTTCCACGCATACACCCTTAACTTACTTCTTGGGTATCTAATATTTGCATAATCAATCCAGCATGGCTATTCGCTATTGTCAGCGTGCGTCTCTCAAGAGTCCAAGTCTCAAAACTAATGACAGCATGTCCTCTGCAGCCTGCAGCACTCCAACAAATGGAGGAACTTCCAAGTTTTAGGCAGAGAAAGGAAATGAACTTTATCATGTTCATTGCAAATTAAAGTATCTATTCTTCTTCACAATTATCTCAAATTATAGACTCACTAAAAGGTTCAAATGGAAAAGCAAAATTTAAACCATATTTTTTATTGTCTAAATCACATGTTACAAGTGATAATTCGCATTGAAATTTCAACAAATATTTTGTTATATAGAAGCTTCAGTTTATTCTAGATTGACAGTGGCTCCATTGGATGGATCATCTGCCTGCAGCTGAGCAGAAGCATTATCTATGGCACAACTAAGCGTGCAATCTTCTCAGTCAGTATTTTGCGGGTCTTCTGTTGTCAAAACACCATATAACCAAAATAGGTGAGCAGAGAATGCATGTAAATACTGATGCACTTAACAATTTAAACATCTCGACTCTCAAGATGATCATGCTGAAAAACGAAGATCCTACTTTCCAAATCTACCACTACTGAGAAACTTCATTGCTATTACAATGAGGCAGGGGCAGGCAACAGCCATGTACAGAAACACACGCTTCAGTTGCCACAGCTAAATCCTAACCGTTATATATGCTAGATGAGAGTTGCCTAAAATACCAAGTAATTCTAAGCTGGAATACTTCCTTCCCTTCTTCCTCTAATCAAATCAAACACATATAATCCTAGTTTATGTATACGTAGTGTCTTCTGCACATACTAGGCATAGTTAAAACATACAACGTGAATGGTCTTTACTCTTTGGCTTGGTGACTATAGGACACTGCAATCTTGGTTATAGGTATTACTTTATTTCAGAGCTGGGTAATACTCAATAGGGCATTCTTCCTTAGGGAGAAGGTGGGCAGGAAAGGAAAAAGAGGGAAGAAACAGATGATAAATGGACCCAATATAAAAAGAGTAAAACAAGGTACCTCCAATGCTTTTTCTTTATCATATATAAATTTTGGTAGTTTCTTCATCAAGTCCTTTTTGTCAGCACCAGCCAGTGCTTTGCCGATCTGCAAGGATTAAATACCAAATAAGCCCGTATCTCTTGCATTTAGGCTGCAACTGCAAAAGCCATATGCCTGTTGTCACAAGTAAGGCCAAGGAAAAAGCACTAAGAGAAGAGACACACGTTACACATTACTAGCTCTTGCTGTCCTCGTAAAATTAGAGTGTGTAAAAACTCTGACCTTTCAGAGTTGAGAATAAATCACAAGAAAAATATTTAAGAGAAACAGACCTCAGAACATGCAGTAAAAGATGCTCAGTAAACACCAGATAGTAAGTTAATAATAATGAAGCTGTGTATACCTGGAGGGCATACACGCAGCCTAATGTTCCACGAAGCAGTCCCCCCAAAAGAAACTAAGCCACCAATGAAGACAGTTGCACTAGTTGGTGTTCCAGCACCCGCACTGACATTCAAAGAAGAGAAAACATGAGAAGCTTCCACATTCCACATGAATAAAACATTTAGAAGAATATTAATTTGAATAATGGAAATACAGAAAGTTAGTCGAGTTAGCATATATAATTAAGTATGATATACTTACATACTACGTACCTTGGTCGGACAGAAAGTGGGGTTTCAGTGGCATTTGATCTGGAATTGGAAGAGAGATTACAGTGTCTGAGTAGGCCTAATGTTCACAATAACACATGGCTCTGCTGCCCTCAATGAAGAACAAGAAGCTATATTTATCAACAACCCATGCAGTCATATTCGTTTAGCAAAAGTTGCAAAGAATCAAAAGCTAGCATGGAATGCCAAGGACTAAGGAGATGCACTGAATCAACTAAACCTACTGATATAAGATTCTCCCCAAAGGAAATACAAACAAACCAACTCAACAATATACATATAGTAATGAAAATTTTTATCATTCTGTGACAAAGAAGAAGATACAGAGTAAAATAGAAGTGAAATTGTGAGAGTAAGATGAGATGAACAAATGAACTCAAATTGGTGCATAGATAGAAACGTGGAGCGTCAGCAAATAACGAAGGAGTACCAGACAAGAGCTTCTTTGGAGGATTTTTCATCGAAAGGAATGAACTGGAAACAATGCTCATCTTTTGGGCTTGCGTTTCACAGATCAACCCAATTACCCTCTTCCTTGACACAGTGAAATTTGATTACTGCTATTAATTCATAATATTGGAACCCAATTGTATGGGGCCCAAGTTGGGTTTTCCGTTACATACTTTTTATTTAAAATGAAATGGGTTCCTTTGCTACTTACCTTTTGTGCGCCCAATAACTATCAAAACTTAGAACCTCAGCCCATGAGCTCTCTCTCTCTGTTAAAAATAAAAAGAAAATAGTTCAAATTAATTAAGATGAGAATCAAAAGCACAATATCCAAAAGAATCTAGATGATTCGATTAGGATTAGATGTATGGGGGAATAAATTAGTTAAGCACCATCATATATAAGTATGTTTCCAATCCAACCCCTTGTTGTACTTGCTCCACAGAAAATTATATATTTGCTAAATTATTGAATACTGTGCGTGACAGAAGGTCCAGTTGGGGGAGACATATCCAGTATTACTAATTAATTAATAAAAGGACAATTTCAATTTAAAGCAATTAGTGTATGCTGATGCCTTTTGATTAATATATGTATTTTTAAGAGAATGAAATAGTCATATATATAGCTGGAAAAGCAATTGATTTATAGGGTTACTGATGTTTAAGTATACAAGTTGTACTAATTAAAGGTAATTAGGCGGGGATTGAACAGGAATATGTATCTGAATGCATTGACTTAGTTTATCCCACAATTTACATATATCGACATGCACGCCTTGAAATTAGAGCTTACATTAGATATAGGACTTTCTAATTTGCATGGGTTGGTCAATGCATTCATTACCCCCCACACTTGAAAGATTCAATTCAAGTTCGATCGACTAGACTGAAACCTAGGAACCCATAGCATACGCCCTTCCCATAGCTTTATAATTGATTTTACATGACCGGTCAAAATATCCATGCGTAAAACCAACTTTTTTTTTTCTTTCTTTTAGTTTAGAAAAAGATGATGTAATTGTATGAAGAAAAAATATGAATTGATTATAAAAGGGATTAAGTCAATTGTATAATAACTCGTATTTAAGGCAGACATTAAAGGGATTGCACATCTAACAAGCAAAGTGATTGAATGGTGAGGCATTATGGGATGAGATGTTCCCCTTTCCCTTGGGGTTGAAGCTTAGACCTTAGACAACGAAAAAGGAAAAGCTATGGAACTATACACATACGTTCAATGTAATTGTAGACGTAGTATACTTTGATAAATAAATTTCAACCGCTGTATGATTGTATATTTGACAATGTAATAAGTAATTGTACGTGGTGCGGTGCATGCCCGATGGAGCCTCATATGGCAACCAGGCGGAGACGGGGGTCAGCCAAGCCTAGTCTAGGTGACCTAACCCACCACTCACAGTGCAGGGTCAATCAACTTGACAGTAAGATAATTATTATTATTATTATTCTTCCAATTCCAAAAACAGCATAATCAAATTGATTCAATGTTTAAAAACTACTGGCGTTGAAACTTAGGCCTGAAATGTGGAAATTATACATACTGACACACACCCAACTCATACTTGGATTTGGATTGGCTCTAACAAGTCTTTTTGTTTTAAAAGGAAATTAATGACATGTCATAATTCATAGGGTTGAAGGGTGAGACTGAGTGGTATAATTATTGAAAAAAGAAAAAGTACAAGGGTTGAATAATAAATTATGGCTATGCAAAATAGTAAAGTAGAAGCTTGAATATTGTTGGGAATGTACAGTATATAGTATAATACGAGGAGTGAAATAGTTTATTTGGAAATTGGAATAAAACAAGAAGCTTTACAGTGTAAGTTGTATACATGAAAATTAATTAAGATTGCAATAATTTCATGCACCAACCTATTTTGTATTTACACAGGCGCATACATTACATATAAAATTTTATTATTATTGAAATTACTAGTAATTAGCAAAAATGAACATTCCAAGACTTCCGTTTTGTTAATTGCTGCTTCTGGAATAATAGTTTAATAATTAAAGAAAGAAGAATACTTCAAGGATGTACCGACACGCAAACGAAACGCAACGCGAAAAGGAAGAATAGGCGAAAGGGTTAAGGGTCCAAAACTAACGTTTTAAACAAGCAAGGAAAGGAAATGAATGAGTCCACATGAAAATTTTGAATATCTCAGGTCAGGTGGCTTGCTTTGGTGTCTATGAAATTAATAAGCCGAGGGTCAAAGGTTATTGGATGAGCTAATTGTGCCAATTGCCAAACCCAACATGGAAATTCCAACGGGACAACACGTTTGCTTGGTTGAATTGGTTGTGGATAGACACACATACAGCCGAAGCTGACTTGTGTCTAGATTCGGACAAACCTCCAAATTAGCCTCAATTAGTGCCAGAATGGACGTCTCCTTCTTGCTGAAAACTGGAAAGTAAACATGCGCGCTTGCCCCCTTTCCTTAACATAAATAGACACTACTAATCACTGCTCACATGATTAATTAATTGAAAGTTTACTCGCTGCTTTGGTCTCACCTCAATTTCTCTTATTTCTTTTTCTTTTTTTAACCAAAACCGCTCTCTAAAAGCAGTAAAAGCCAAGAATTAATGCTGGCTGGCTGGGTGGGCCTTAGCAAAATTATAACGTCAAGAGAGGATACTAATACCACTTGGATTAACTTAATTTGTTTATGGTGGGAGTTGGAAACGTGTTCATACTCATATTTGGTATTTGATAGCAGAGGGCTGGAGGCGACTCCAGGTGTGGAGCAGCGTCGGGGTCCAGGGCGGCCATCCGCACCTTGTGAAGCTTCTTTCTTTGTTCCAAAGTCTACTCTTTTCTCTCCATTCAATTAATGCAGGCTCTCCTTCTTTTACAACAGCAACGAGTTAAATTTTCCCCCATTCAGCTAATCTAATCAGTAATCGCACTACTACTACTACTAGTTGTACAACTCTCAGGAAATCAAGATATTTTGTCTTCATTGCAATTTCAATCTCAATTCCGTCTCTGTCATTTGCAGTTTCACACGCTACTCTCTCTGCCCTGTCTTGGATTTCCTTGGCTTCTGATTAAACCCAGAAAAAGGACAACAACAAAGAGAAGAAAGAAAATAGTAAAGGATGAGGTTGTTGATATGGTACTTTGCCTGGGGTTGGTTAATGGTGGGAGAAACAGTAGTAATGGGGGCTAGCGAGAGTTCAGGGGAGAGAAAACTTTATCAGACACCTACATGGGCGGTGGCTGGGGTTTGTGCTGTTATCATCATCATTTCCATTCTCTTGGAAAAGGTTCTTCACAAACTTGGAACGGTAATCCTTTTTCATTGTCGTTATTACTCACTTTTTACCTTCTCTCCCTGCTTTAATTCCGCGTTTCTTGTTGTTTCATAAATCCTGCTACCGGCAGTTTTACTTTTTCTGTAGATGAGCTTTCTTCTTCCATTCGTTACCTCACTTTTTCAGTTTCCTACTGCGTCTTCCCTTGTCAACAAATCTTGTACCTTTCTTTTCCTTTCTTCTGGGCTGTTTTCCAACTTCTATTAATTCTGCACCCTGCAGTGGGAAAAAGAAAATAGCAATCAAATTAAAAAGTATGCCTTTTTCTTCTCCAAATTTAAAGATTTGTTGGACCCCTCTGCTCTTTTTTTTCCTTTCTGCAAATGCTTCCCTATTTGCTGGAAGGAAAGAATGAAAGTTACAGTGTTGTGTTAGCGTTTCGTTCAAACATGTTTAGCTTTTAAATACTGATAGTACAATCTTTTTGTGGCATTCAGTGGTTCACAGAAAGGCACAAGAGAGCTCTGTACGAAGCCTTAGACAAGGTTAAAGCTGGTAAGACCAGAATTTTATGCTTACTCACGTTATTGGCTCTACTTTTGATTGCCAGAATCTGGTTTTGGAAGTTGCTTGTTGGACTAACTATCATTTTTCCACCCCTGCTTTTATGGTTCTGTGAAAGGCCATCAATTGTCAATTCCAAAAATTGACCTTTCGCCATGATTATTGCAGAGCTGATGGTTCTGGGTTTTATTTCGCTGCTCCTCACTTTCTGCCAGAGCTATATTGCTAGAATCTGTATCCCTACAAACGTTGCCAACACTATGTTGCCTTGCAAAGCTGATAGTGAGCAGGACACCTCTACCAGCAGTGAAGAAGAACACCGTCGAAGACTCTTGTGGTTTGAGCGTAGATTTTTGGCTTCTGTTTCAACTGCTCCTAAATGCAACGAGGTGAGCCCACGTCCAACATATATTGATGTCTATGTGGAGTCGATGCATTGAAATACTGGTTTACACAAGAATTGATTTCAAAATCTAGGACTCTTTAATTTGACTCTAAAAACCTTTTTGTCTTATTATTTAATCTTGGTAGTGGAACTTGTTTGATCATTTACAGTTTATGAGATGCCATTTTGTAATTGAAAACAAAAGCCTTAAACTCCTTTTAGATTCATGAAGTACATTCTGGATTAATCTTGCTATCCCACTTCACATTACAAATATAGTGCCTTGTCTTCTTTACATATCTGGATTAATCTTCCTACTCACTTCTTTGGTCATTTTCGAAGGAACGTTCTGATTTGCTTTTGATCGTAGTATGAGTTGAAACATAAATTTCTGTCTTCCTGAAACTGTAACTAATTGTTTCTTCTCTTCAGGGGCATGAACCGCTTATATCCACTGAAGGATTGCACGAGTTACACATCCTCATATTCTTCTTAGCAGTTTTTCATGTTTTATATAGTTTTGTTACTATGATGCTTGGGAGACTAAAGGTAATTGAATTCTGTCTTATTTGTGTGGGTTGCATTTGATCCTCTGCTTTCTTGTAGATGCATTCTCAAAGATAAGGATATTATTTAAAACTAACAGCTGCTTTGAACAGATTCGCGGCTGGAAGGTATGGGAGCAGGAAACATTGTCCCATGACTATGAGTTTTCAAATGGTATATTTTTCAACAAGGAACATAAGGCTTATATTGTCAATCTTGAACTTAATTCCCAACTTTACTTGTTGCATCTTGAAAACTAACCTGGGTGCCTTGTTGTTTTCGCAGATCCTTCCAGATTCAGGCTTACTCATGAGACATCTTTTGTGAAAGCCCACACCAGCTTTTGGACTAGGATTCCTTTCTTCTTTTACATTGTAAGTTTTTGTTGCATGGTGATGCCTAAAGGTGCCATTAAAAAGAAAAGGTTGTTTCATATTAGAAATGACTGCATTTGCAAGAAAATGTTGCACCAATTAATAAATAAAAATGAAAATTTGGGTGTGATTGTCTTCATGAATGCACTGGAATATGGTCTATGAAGAAAATAAGAAAAAAAAAGAAAGATTGGAAAAAGAAATGGAAAACTATGATAGAATTAGATTGGCTCTGCTGCAGGTAAAGCTGCTTGAATTAATTTTGCAAGAGAGAGAGAACTTGCTTTAGTCGAGTACTTATTTGTTCTCTTCGTGGTTTTAGTGTATATTTCCATGTGCTATTTTTCTATATCAATACTGAACTTCTTAGACATTCACTGCAGGGATGCTTCTTTCGACAATTTTTCAGGTCTGTTGGGAGGGTTGACTACTTGACATTGAGGAATGGATTTATCACTGTGAGTTAATTTTAATTGTGAAGCCAACAATATTTGTTGTTGCTTTGGCTTTTTCTTCCTAACTACTTCACACTTGTCTTGTAGGTTCATTTAGCTCCTGGAAGTAAGTTTGACTTCCAAAAATATATCAAAAGATCATTAGAGGATGACTTCAAGATTGTTGTTGGAGTAAGGTACCCGTTCTTGTATTCCTGTGTTATGATAGCATACTTTGCTGTTAATGTGCCTGAACCTAGGTTTATCTTGTTTGCAGTCCAGTGTTGTGGGCATCATTTGTGATCTTCTTGCTGCTAAACGTTGAAGGTGAACCACTTTTTCTTGAGGGGATCCTTTTCAGAATAAAACTGTGCAATTGCAAACTGATTTAGAAGCTGTCTTCTGTTTGCTAATATAATGCACACTTTTCCAGGGTGGCAAGCATTACTTTGGGCATCCATGATTCCTGTGATTGTAAGAAATCTTTCTTAATAACAGTTTCTTAAGAACTATAGTAGAAGATGTCAAAGTTCTAATTGTTTCACTGATAACAGATAATCTTAGCTGTTGGGACAAAGCTTCAAGCCATTTTGACAAAGATGGCTCTTGAAATTACAGAAAGGCATGCCGTGGTCCAGGGAATACCTCTTGTGCAAGGCTCAGACAAATATTTTTGGTTTGGTCGACCCCAATTAATTCTATATCTGATTCATTTTGCATTGTTTCAGGTAATCATTATTCTCTACATTCAGTGTTTTCATTTGGAATCGTAACTTTAGGAGCATATAAACTGTAATAAAGACTAGGAAAAGAATTCTTCCTTGCTTACTTCACGTATGAGCGGTCTAGATTTTAATGCATAACAAAAGCTAACCTTGAAGGTGTCTATATTTTCCTTGTAGTAGATTCAACCTAACTGGAGAGTCCTTTGGTTAAAGCAAATGTGGCATGAGTAGGGTCCCAGCCTGCAGCATTGTTGCATGAAGTGCGCACTCAATTACTTACATGCTTGCTGGATCTTTATGGTGCTTGCATTTAGGGCAAGCAACTTTATTTTAACTTGATTCAAATATTCAGAAGAAAGTTTAAATTTTTTGCACAAATTAAAATTCTAATGGAAAGAAATGGTGTTACATGAAATTGCATTATGGATTTCATCAATTTTGAGTGCAATGATTAATATTTAGGAGAGGTGAGAGCCAGTTTCTATTCTTGAGCTATTTCTATCATAGTAGTCTACAATATTTTAAGTGAGGAGCACTGATCAGAGGTCTGTCACTCTAGTTTTATCTTGCACTAATCGCTGTCTGATTCAGAATTGTAATAGACATTCTTTGCCTGTTAAACTATTCTCTGCAAAGTTTTAGCAGATCATTTCTTTTCTGCTCAAGTTCCTCTCCTACTTGCATTCACCTAATTTATTTTCTTTTCCGTTGGCAGAACGCATTCCAGATAACTTATTTCCTGTGGATCTTGGTAATTAACAAAGCTCTACTAACTTTGCCAGTTGCAACCTCTGTCCCTCTCTTAGTCTCTTTCATCTCCACCTTTTCTTATCTTCTTTTTTCATTGTTTCTAATCTGAAAGATGGGTGCAATGTTTTTGTAATTACTTGTGCAGTATTCATTTGGGCTGGATTCTTGCTTTCATGGTAATTTAAAGATTGCCATTATAAAAGTTTCCTTAGGGTAAGTTAAACTTTAGTACCATCAGTCTTTCATGACTTGGTATTTATGCACCTTAAGTACAAATATGATTGTTTGTTAGAATAATACTTAAACTGTTGTTCAAAATTTATCTGGGTTTTGCAGGGTTGGAGCTCTATGTTTGTGCAGCTACATCACCCTTCCACTATACGCCCTAGTAACTCAGGTGCCTTTGCTGTCCCATATCTTTATTAAAGCAGCTTTCTAGGAATTACTTAATTCTGTATGCACATGGAGGGGGTAGATTAAAACTTAATTGCTTCTGAAATTTGTTTTCAAATCCTTCATGAATAAGTGCTATAATCAGATCCTTCTGTTGTTTTCATTTGTGTGAACTATCAAGTATGGATAGAATTAGCTTGAATGATGCTTATAATGCTGGATACTTGCAGATGGGTTCCCGCATGAAAAAATCAATCTTTGACGAGCAAACATCCAAGGCCCTCAAGAAGTGGCATATGGCTGCAAAAAAGAAGCGTGGAAAGGCAGGAAGGCCCCCCACTAGAACCCTGGGTGGAAGTGCAAGCCCAGCTTCCACTGTCCATTCCACTGGACATACACTTCAACGATTCAAAACTACTGGTCACTCAACTCGTTCTTCTTATGCCTATGAAGATCATGACATGTCTGATCTTGAAGCCGAGCCATTGTCACCCACATCATCAACTAATTTGATAATAAGAGCGGATGATGAGGAGCAAGCAACTGAAATAAGTGAAACCCACCATGTAGAAGGAAAAAATGAAGATGACTTCTCCTTTGTCAAGCCTGCCCCAGTACAAGAAGCATGAACGCAGTGGGGGTGGAAGCTGGCATGCAGGCAGTGACAAGGCTGTTGTCTGTCTGCCAAAGCTAACAGAGTCCTGTTGTGTAAAAATTATTTGTTGAATGCATTCTGCGGAATATAGTAATGTGTGTCAGAAATATTTTGGCTAGGTAGTGCCTTTTTTTTACGTACATTAACAGTGCTTGTTTATAGTTACATTTTTCCACACTAACTTGATTTAGTGTAGAAGTTGAATGGTTTTATTTGATTTGTGAGAATCTATTCCTGCAAATTACCGTAGTTTTTGGACATCATTAGAAGAGCAAAAATGAGGTTTTGGTATAATGTTTTGAAGATGGAAGTTGGGTGGCTATATTCAAATGGAACTGTGTGGCAAATCTATTGAATTTGAAATCCAACCTGCTCAAGAGGAATCACTACAAGCTGAACAGTGTGCTGCCCAGCCATTGGTGATAAATATCGATAACTACTAGTACACATAAAGTGGTGTGAATGAGAAAAAGGTCGCTAAAGCCGCCAGACAGTTGACTGTACATGTCCAATAAGCATCTCTCTCAAGTCTCCGGTCTCCAGATCGAAGAAGAGCTTTCCAAGGGCAATGGGAACACAAGGCTCCAACCGGTTTAGCAATTTGCCTGTGAAACCTTGAGTCAGTCGATGTTATTGAAACGAAACGAAGCAATGAATCTGGAGTCCGTAAGGCTCCAAATTCACTGTCTTTAACGCTAGAGTGAATTAGTCGTTTCCGGGATGATAAGAGATTAAACCGTCTTAATTTATGTCATTTGAAGATAAAAGTTAATCATCCAGGAGGCCAAGTTGGCCTATCTACTCTGAATACCACTTGTGCTATATGTAATTATTATATAATTGTACTACTACTATTACTCTTACTACTATTAGTAGCAGTAGCATAAGTTGTAGGCGCCTTCTTATCCAAGCTGCCCACCTTTCCTTCTCCCCTTATCTTCTCCGACTCCTTACTCATTCCATTTCCCTACAACTATAAGCCCACCT